GCCAAGCTTTAAATTCATAGATTACCATCAGCCATTTCATAATATGCTATGTATTTCAAAGCACCTATACAAGCAGCAAAGGGTCCATTTCTCCTTTTGAACTCATCTGCTTTTTACGATCAAAGAGAGTTATGCAACCCAATATGTTTTCTTCTTTGCCCTGGTTACCAAGAAGCTCAGAAGTATACATGCTGTACACTCAACCGCTGAACACTGTCATCTGCCAGGGTGTGTTCATCTCTTAATCCTTAATCTCTCCCTTTACATCATGGCTCCTACCTTGTGCCTTGTTTTAAGGGCTTCAGTTCCTATATATGTGTGCATTTATTTTAAGTGGCCTCAAAACCTTTTTAAAGTAGGCAGGAATAACGTGTGTGTGTGCACGTGCATGTGATGCATAGGTTCATATATATGTATATTGCATATTATTTATGAACACACACACACACATATATTCCCAATGCTGAGAGTCTCTCTATCTATGTATTTCCCAGATCTCTTCTGCCGGCCTCTCTCTCAGCTCCTGGGGCCTCTCCAGTAGTCTATTTGGTCACGCACAAATGAGGGTATCTAGCCCCTTTACAATTAGTGAATCCCAAGAAAGGAACTTCTCACATGAAAACATGAGTTAGCGATGAAAATATAAGTGCAGATTTTATGGAGGAGTCTGAGGAAACACATTTCTGTTCTTTTCTCCAAATCCCTTCTTTTGTGATCCTGCCTTGAGCTGAGTTTATTTTAATACTCTAAATCAGGGGTTAGATAAATTTTTCAGTAAAGGGCTAACTAGTAATATTTTAGATTTTGTGGGCTGTGAGTTCAGTCTAGGTTGCAACTATTCATCTCTGCACTGTAATGCAAACACAGCCATAGTGATGCATAAACAAATCAGCATGACCTTGTTTCAATAAAACTTTATAAAGTAGGTGGTGGGCTGATTTGGCCCATGACCATAGTTTGCTGTGACCCTAAACCGTCCACATCCACTGTATCTGTGGTCACTAGGTCCTCAGTGCAGTGTCACTCTGGCCAACTCCAATGTCCCACCTACTCAAGTTAGACTGTGCAAAACAGAGGGTTCTCCAGTTAATGGGACAAGATCTGTCCTGCCTGTTTTATTGCTTGAAAATACCCTGGAGGAGTTTGCCCTTCTTTCACATATACCAAAGGTTTTTAAAAAAATATTTGTTTTTACCACACACAGTGTTCTCCACAAGAGAACTTTAGGTAAATATTATAAATGTATCTCCATCTGCAATAGTATTTTTACAGCCTACAGCCATATTTGAGTTTAGAAAGTGGGCCCAAACAAGAAACAGAAAAACGAGGCTTCATGCCTACAATCTCCAGCTACATGACCCTGATCGTAACTTTCTCATGCCTCAATTTTCTCATCTACACAATGGGGATAGGACTTCACCCGCCCAAAGGCCAGAGCCTGGACCAGATGATCCCTTATAGACTCTTTCTGGAATTTAGACAGATTATTTTCCTAAACCAATGATTTCCAAATGGTTTCAGGAATTGCAAGGCCCTGGGGTACTTATTAAAACACAGATGGCTAGACCCCAGCCTGAGTTTCTAGGGAGGAGCCGAAAAACTTGCAGTGCCACCAAATTCTGCTAGTGCTAGCCGAGGGACCACCCTTTGGGTCTGTATGATAGAGATCTTACAGTCCTTTATACAGGGAAACAATGGCAGGGCAGTTTGGGGGGCAGTCCTACACCTGGTTCCTCTTCATTTTTCCAAAACGCCGTTCCTTCCCGAAGGGATGAGAGATTAGATTTTTGCTCACTGAGTCTCAGATGCTGCAGCCACAGCTCAGCAACTAACTACAGGCTGAAAGGAGGCTGGTGGTGACTTTTGTGGGGGCCATGCTGGAACGTAAAGGCCCATGGGCAGCCAGATAAGCCCTAGAGAAAGATGGGGAAACCAGGGACCCACTGAGAAATGAGAGACAAATACACCATCACACAATTCCTTTGTATAAACCAACCTTCTAGAACCTTCTCTTCCCATAAACACAAAGTCAACGCAAGCATTGACTGAGGGTTGATCATACATAGGTCCAGCCCCCAGTAGTGCAGGGTGGGAGTCAAGGAAGACTGCCCTCAGGAACTCTCAGTCTTATGGGGAAGGCAAGAGTCACATGTGTTCACACACTTGACAGAGGTCAAAACAAGTAGTTAATTGGATACAATATTGTGTGGCCATGACCATGGAGTGCTCTGGAGAGAGGATACTGGTGGGCTTGAGAGCCCTGGGCAGGCTTCCCTGGGAGATGGAAGCAGGCGGCAGGGCAGGAAGGCTCTGAAGCAGTGGGAGGGTGAGGAGGGCCTGGCAGGAAGAGGCTGTGCCTGGAATATTAGCAGAGAGGGGGTAAGAATGAGCACGGGGGACTCCTAAGCACGACCTTACCCCCTTGACTCATCTCCATTTCTCTGCCTCGGTTTCCTGATTTGAGGAATAAGGGTTTTGACCTAACTCGCAAGTTTGCAAGTTCTGTTCCAGCCTGGAGAGACCCCAGGCCACTGGGCCCAGTCTTCCTCTTCATCATCCTGCCTCTGCTTCAGCCAGAAAAGCTCTGCTTTCTTACGTTTCTACACTCACTGCAGAGTTTCGCTTCCAGAAGGGATTTGAAAGTCACTCAACGAGAAACTCCGTAAAAGCTCTTTCCATTTGTATCTCGGATGACCGAATGGAAAAGACAAAGCAGCCAGGTAGCACAAAGGATGGGACCACCACGTTGGCCAGGCTGGATCCCGGAGCAGCTGGGCAGCGAGAGGACTCAGACCAGTGGGGGGGGGACGCAGGGAAGCTTGCATGTGGAGGAGAGTCACGGGAGAGCCGTGAGATCGGGCCCACAGGCTGCTGGAGAAGCAAACGGATCTGAAAATCTCAACTGCTCAGAAGGTTCTGAGTAAAAACAAAGGGTGATTTTTTCCCCCTTGTCAGCCTTCCCTCTCAGGACATTGTACTATATGCAAAACGTGTAACTGTAAGACAAACATTTTTTTCCACTGCCCTTCTCAGCCCCACGGGCCTTCAGGAAGACCTGCGCTTCAAGCAAAGCCTTTTTATTTTCAACACCCACAGCTTCCATTCCACAATCAGAAGTTTTCCACTTTCATCAAAGAGACTGAAGACAGAGGCCAAGGGAGGACTGTGTTCTCAGCAGCGCTGGGCAGGTTACAGCGCCCCCTGCTACCCACTCACTGTCCACATTCAGCACTGGACACAGCCTTCTCACCAGATCAGCTAGGTACACACCCTGAGGACACTGGCTTGCTTCATTCCCACCTCAGTTCCCAGACCAAACGAACACGTGCACCCACTCCTTCCAAAACTGAGCCCGACTTGGGGTCCAGGGGGTGTTTGCTTCCTTGACTGTGACATAGGTATACTTTATACCACTCTAGGTAGCCCAAGAAAACAATTTACCTCTTGATGGCTCTTCCGTCTCCAGGATCTGTGATTTTATGGATTCACTGGGAAGGAATATTCAGACCAATCCCTAGAGTCTGACCCAGCTCAAGTGATGCTCGGCAGCCTGGGTTCACCGCAATTGCAGGAGGAATCATCCAAGCTTGGCCTTGGACACAGGGTATTTCCTTAGAAGGAGCTGGGATTTCTGCTGGCTCTCTGAGATACAGTGCAACCAGAAATGAGCAGAAAGGCAGGGGAGGGCTGGCACTTACCGAGAACTGGGTACTTCCGAATGAAGTTTTCAAAGAGCTACATCTGGAGGCACCAGCTCTGCAGTCATTCATATTTTAAATGGGGTGTTGAAATGGAGATTGTTGGTAACTGTGGATGTGACAACTCTGTCCCCTAGAGAATCTATTATAGCTGTCCAAATTCTAAGACTCAGCCCAGGGCACCACTGGGAATGGTTAACAGGGATGGGCCAACACCTTTGCCCAGTCTATCCCCATTCACAGAGCACCCTCACTTGACTCTTTCGTGTGAAATGCACAGCGGCTGTCCATGCATGGGGGGGACGGGAGGGACGTAAGGACCCGCACAAGGTCCCAAAGCCAACAGTGCACAGGGCTGAGAGCAGACCTCAGGTTTTCAGCCTTCAAGCGCCGTGATGATTGAACAATTTAACATGGGCCGACACGTACGGCTATGCACCCAGGTGATGTCATTGATTGACAATTACCACTTTGATCGAAACAGTTTTCATGCTCTCTGATCCTCAATTTTGCCAACCGTGGAAAGGAAATGTTAGCTGCGTCAGAGGGCAGAGGTGAGATCGGAGTGAGGCAAGGTGCAAAGCTCGCTAACACCAGCTCTGCGCCTGAGATGGTCGAGCTTCAGCTGCAACAGTCACACTCACACACATCCCTCACACCACACATAAGACACACACAACATGCACCCCACATCGTGGACGCGCAGCATACATGCGCCACACGTGCATACCACACACCCACTGCCCCCCACACAGAACACGCCTCCCATGTTCTGCACCACCCACTTCCCCACCCCTACCCCCACCCCCACCGCCAGGCCCTTCCCCTTTCTGGGAGTGTGCTGGCGAACCCAGGCTTGTCTGCAGGCTTGGCACCTCCCAATGCAGGCAGCAGGAATTTTTGTTGAGAAGATCAGTGTTTCCAGATCCCTGCTCTCTTTGAATCTGCCCCCACATTTCATCCTGCCCGTGGGCTTGCCCTCTCCGGATAAAACTCCACATTTGTGGGCTCTTCCTTCTCAGGTAGCTGGTAACACGTCCAGCTTTCAGCAGAAGCTGATACTATCAGACTGAACCCCTTTCAGTCCTTATAGCCCAGTCCCAGGACCCCAGCTTCTCCGAGGCTCCGCAAAGAGACATTTTCTGCCGAGGGCTTCTGAGCTGCAGGCCTCACTAGAGAGAATTTGCGGCTTCTCAAGCAGGAAGGCGTTTTGTGGCTGAGTCTAAATGAAACAGAAGTCGCTTTGCACACACACACACACACACTCACACACACACACACACACACACCCCAGAGTAGGGAAACTGTCATTTTCTTACTTGCCCTCTGACATTAATCACCTTCTCTGGAGCTACAGTTGCTCTGTACTCAGATTCATCCCTGGCTGGCAATGAAAAATGAGCCTCTCCCCCACCCTTGCTGCCGCGTTTCACCTCACGCCCCCAGAGAAGAGTTTCTTCGTGTGGCAGCCGGTGAAGGTTTTTTTCCACGTCACATGATCCAGGATGCAGGGGGAGAATCCTTCTTGGAACAGAGATGGGCCCAGAAGTGAATCAGATGAGGACAGATAAAGTGTGCTGTGGGAAGACTATATAAGAATGGACCCAGGGCTGCAGCAAGCACTCACCCGAGTGGCCCCTTCTCAAGACACAGCCATGCATGTACCAGCAGGCTCCGTCACCAGCCACTTGGGAACCACGAGCCGTGGCTATTTCTACTTCACCACCACCGCGCTGGCTCTGTGTCTCGTCTTTGCTGTGGCAACCATTATGATGTTGGTAGTTCAGAAGACGGTAAGTGGACTTCTCATCGCCTTTCCTTTCTGATTTCTATTCAGTTTTCCCCAGAGAGAGAGAGCCTTGAGAATAAACTAATAAAGTAGTTGAGAAGGGGGGAGAAAAAGGTACATATATCATGTAGGAAGAGGGAGAAAAGAAACAGGAGCTCAACTCTCTGCAATAATTTGGCTTTTAAGAGAAAAATGGGTTCAGCCATCATCTCAAAACTTTCCAGACTTGCATGGGCCAGAAGAAAAGAGAGGAGCGATTAGTATTAAGAAATTATGATTTAAATTTTGCTGGGCCAGAGATGCATATCAAAGAAGGAAGTGATAAGGAAATGTGATAACAGATTCGCGTGACTCATGACTGTGTCTTCAAGGTCTTCTGACCAGATTCCAAGGTTCTCTATTCTCAGCCCAAACATTGCTGAGATCTCTGGGGCCTCCTCGGTTGCCAAGAGCTTTCTCAACAAGAGGTTAAGTTTCAGTGGCCAAGGTGGATAAGGGAAGGAAGCAAGACAGGAGCCCAGGCTTAGCTCCTTAGAGCTATTTAAGCCTACAGGGCAAGTTGAAAACTTCCCCCTGAGCCACTGCTTGGAAGAGCTTAGGATGTCAGGAGAAACCTAGAGCATGGGGGCAGAAATGTTTTTAACACCTGTTCCCTCTGAGACTGCTCCGAATACTAAAACGACAAGCAATCACAGGCACCCACCGTGGAAGCAAACTGTCTTAGGAAATTTATTTTGTTTGGAGGAAATGGTACGATTTTTTGCAAAAACAGAAGAGACCGAAGGAGGACACTTCATATTTTAGGAAACTGGTGTTTACAGAGAATCTGGCCAATCCGGCCAGTGTGCATTTTGTAGAAAATACCGTATTGATGGTATATGTTGCTCACGAATTTTTTAATGAAGTAAAGTTTTGGTAACTTTGGTAATTTGAGAACTCACTCTCTCCACACGCCCTGCCAAAGTGAGAATATTTCTGTTTATTCCTTCAGCGCTCCCATTTTTCATTACAATTCTGCAGAATGTGTCCCGGTTTCCCTTCAGTCGTCTTAGGCTGAACGTTCTATACCGTATGGGTTGCTGAAAAGAACTAGGCTTTAAAAGATTTTGCTGTCTGTTTCTCAAGTGTCATCAGCTTTGAAATTTAAATGAAGCTTTGAGGATCATATCTCCATCAAAGTGAAAGAAAAAAGAATTACTAATATTTGATTTAGTTGAAATGCATCCTTGAATTGGCTCATCTATGTCTACTGAGAATAATACTCTTAAAAATATTCTAGGGCATTTTTTTTGGTAGATGTTAGATAATTTCTATAATTCTAATTTGATAAATCAGAAGTATATCATTTTATAGTAATGGCCAAAGAAAAGAAATTGAAGTGGTCTTTAAGAAGCTTTTTAGTTAAATATTGTAGCTAGAACTGCTAAGAAGGAGGGAGGGAAGGTAGGAAGGGAGAAAGAAAGGAAAGGTATTGGGGGTGATGATGAAATATAAAGCTGGAGAGAGCTCTAGAAGGGCCCTTACTCAAATCCATTCTTTCCAGGAAGGAACTAGAGGGGATCCTCCTGCCCCATTTTTGTATATATGGAAAATCAGGAACAGAAAAGAGAAGGGGCTTGAACGAAGTCATCCTGAGAAAGTGATAGACTCAAGACTGTGCTTGATTGTTTAATGAGAACAGCACTCCCTTTGCCAATACAGCCAGCCACAGAAGCACTTAGAAACTTCGTTCCTGCTCCTCTCTCTCAAGAGGTTTATCTTCTCGCACATCCATTGCCTTCACTTACTCCTCATGTTAGGACATGAAAAAATTTACTTCACAATCTGGTTGTATGGTTTGGTGGGCTGTGGTTTCTTTAGTCTGGCAGATATCAGTTGCTTGTTTAAAAGCTAAGGCTTGTTATACTAATTGTGATATTAAGTATTCAGTGTTTTGCACATATATCATTTCCAATAAATTATTCGGATGTTAACAACTGCAAGAGCTAAGAAGAGTTATCCCCTTGAGTTATGAAGGAAGGCTTCCTGCAGGAAGAGGGAATGCAGGCTGATTCCAGGAAAGATAGAACTTAGATAAACAGAGAGACTCTAAAAGGACCTCTGGTAAAGAAATCAATGGGAGAGGCCCAAGAAACTTAAATTCACATCCCAATTATCAAAAAATGGAATGGTTGATGGCTACATAGCACTCTGTGTGAGGTTGGAAGGGGGGCAGGAATGGAGTACCATGAGAATGGTTTTACTGGCCTAAGAAGTCACAGTTCTAGATAAGAAGCACATGAACAGACAAAATTTAAAACAAGATCAATCGTGATAGATAATGGTTGGAAGGTAGAGCCACATAGGGTTTCCACGACACCACAAGTTAAGGAGACAGAGTGTTTTCCCAGGTTTAAGAAACACTTCACTGGAGATTGGAGTTCCAGACTGGCTTGAGAAATTTAAAGCAGGTGAGAAAGGGGAATCAGAGGAGAGGGAACTCCCGGCCAATGAATCAAGCGTGAACAAAGTGATGGAGAACAGAAGAGACAAGATATGTAGGAAAACCAACAAAGAAAAACTCCCAGGTCAAACTCCTTGGGAGAGTCAAAGAAGGAGCTTAGCTTTCAATCTCAAATATTTATTGGGCAATTTCTGTGTGTGGGACATCGTTCTAAGCAACAGGGATATAGCTTGAACAAAGCCAACAAGATTCCTGCTTTTGTGTTACTTGTAGAACTGATTGTCTAGTAATGCCTTTAGAGTCCCTGTGGTAGGTGCTCGCTTCGGCAGCACATATACTGGAGTCCCTGTGGTAGTTTTTCTTAATCTACATTTAAGCCAGTATATTTATTATAACATATCATATCCATATGGTTTAAGAAAAGTAAACAGTAAACATGGGAAAAGAAATGAAAACTCACTCATATCCTGCCCACCCAGCCACCAATCCCTCTTCCCTGATGTAACCACCATGGACAGACTCTTTCATGTCCTTCCAAAAATATGTGCATCTGCAAATATATAGTATAACATGTCGTTATAGTAGCCTCATAATTTTGCACCTTGCTTTATTGAGTTGACAGTATATCTTGGAGACCCTTCCATGGCAATGCATGAAAGTCTGTCTCATTCTTTGGAAGAGTCACTAGTATTCTGTTGTATCACTGCTTCATAATTTATTTTATCTGTGCCTAGTGAAGGGCACTTCTATTTTTCTCTAGAAGTTTTTACCCACTGTCCACGTCTGCAAGTATATCTGTGGGATAAATTCCTAGTGATGGGAATAGAATGTGTATTTTTCACTTCAGTAAATACCATTCAGCCTCGAAAGAGATTGTACCAATATATTCTCAAGTCAGTAAAAGTCCTACCAACAAAGAGACACCTCTTCACATGAATATGGAAAGACAGAAAGCTGATTTAGTATTAAGTAAGCACAACAAAGTGCATGCATGTGTGTCAGGATGAAACTTCACACAATTTGTACAGCAAAGCAAATGGAAAACAGTTAAATGTATCTTATCTCTTCCAGAAACGAAGGGTTACATAAGGAGATAGGCTACAAGGTTGACTATAGAGGTGTCATTTCAAAAGGCTCTAAAGTCTTCAATCTAAGGGCCAATTCTGTAAACCTAGGGACTGGGCTTATCCAGTCCCTGAAGAGATTTATTTATATTCCAAAGGGTTAGAGCAAGGGCTCAGGATCATTAGGTTTTCAAGAAGACCCTTTCTAGAAAGAGAAAGAAGCTGCCTCCTTTCCCTCTCTAAGTAAAGAAAATGCCTTAAAAAAATAAAAAGCATCCTTCCAGTGCCACTCTACCTCCTCACCAAGAATGGACTGAGCATCAGGTTAGGTGTAGAGATTGTTGGTGGTGGTAGGTGGTAGGTAGGTATGGATTTTTGGTTTGCTTTTAAGTCCAGATACAATATAGGGGTGAGTTGAAATGCTCCATGGTGCTTCTCTCTACCCACACTACTCTCTCCAATGCATTCAATTTATCAGTTAAAGAAAAGAAAAAGAAAACACAGAAAGTCTTCTCAGGGGCAAGCCCTGTGCTAGGGTAGGACCCACGTGAACAGGGCAGGACCCCTGTTTTCTGAGGATTCTCAAAGTAAGGCCCAAACACCCAAGAGCTTGAGTCCACGGCAGAATGCCATCGATGGGAGGGGAGGAAGAATTTCTGCTTGGGATGAGGGCAGGGCTTGCAGAAGAGCTAGAACAGAAGCTGAACCCCCTCCAAGAATCAGAAGGATGTCTTACACCTAAAGTTTTATTTTGAAGATTTTGAAACCTACAGAAAAGTAGGATGGTAAACACCCATATAACCTTTCACCTAAATCGGCTGTGTTAACATTTTGCCCTATTTGTGCTCTTTTTATGTGAATGACAGTAAGGTGGAGACAGCATGGTCTTTTACCTGCACCTGTCTCAGCACCTATCTCCTCCTCACTGCAAGGCCATTATCACGGCCAAGAGAATCAATGTCAGTTCAGTGATACCATCTAATGATAGTGCACAGTCCATATATCAATGCCCGCCCCTTGTCCCAAAATATCTTCTACAGCTGTCGTGCCTTGTTTTGACAGGGGATCCTGAATCCACACTCAGGTCACACACCACATTTGGTTGTGTCTGTTTCAATCTAGAATGTTGCCATTTAAAAGGTGGTCCTGGGAGCTTGCTGGAAATGCAGAAACCCAGGCCCCGTTCTAGACAAACCGAATAAAAAGTTGTTTTTTAATAAGCTCCCTGGGTGACTCTCATGCACGCTGAAGTTTGAGAAGCGATCATCTAGCAATTTCCTCTGCCCTTTGTTGTTTGTTTCTCAGGACATTGACTTTTTCAAAGGGTCCAGGCCAGTACGCTTATAGAATTGGCCAAGTTTTGGATCTGGCTTTGTGTTTGTTGTGATTATATTCAGATGAAACTTTCTTGGCAAGAATAGTACATAAGTAATGTTACATCTTATTTCAGCACACCTAGAGGCATACGTCAGGTTGTCCCATTACCGGTGATGATGTTTGGTTACTTGATTAAGGTGGTGACCCCTGGTGAACACTTCTTTCTTTCTTACTAATAAGTAATCTATGGGGTAATACTTCAAAGACATATAAATATCTTTCATTCAGCAGTTTGGGCACTCCTCAATGATCCTCGTCTGTTGGGGCAAGCACTGAGGGTAGAAGAATGATGACTGCCTAATCCTATCATTCTTTCTGCGTTTATTAACTGTATTCTTCAGTGGAGAAGAGCTCTCCATTGGAAAGATGGTAGCCGGTGGAGCTGGCTCAGGGCTTTCCAGCTGAGGCAGAAGAATGAGCAGAGGCACAGCCCAGAAGCAGGCAAGCCCAGGTGTCAGGAGAGGAGTGGCAGGGCCAGAACAGAAGTCAGCCCAGGGGAACAGCAGGAAGCACAGGTAGCTGGCAAGAAGCATTGATAGAGGTGGATAAGAGAGTAGGACACTACATCCATCAGCAGAGTAAGAAGAAGATTTCCTAAACCCATGTATGAGCCCAGCCTCCTGTAGCTACTCCCACCCCCCATTCCTTGGGGAAGGAAGACCTCAGGTGTTCTGATTGCCTAATGAGCAATGTCTTTCAGCCCTTGCTACTCAAAGTGTAGTCCATGGCTCGGCAACACTGGCATCATCTAAAAGCTTACTAGAAATGAAAAACCTAAGGGTCCATCCCAGACCTACTGAACCAGAGTCAGCATTTTAACAAGATCCCTAGTGGGAAAAGCACTGCTTTGAGCCACTCTGGTCCAGTTCCCACTTACACTAACCGTACCAAAACAAAGGCTGCCAAAAAAAAAAAAAAAATTGTCTTTCTCCTGAGGATTTTCTGTGACCTCCATCCACTTTCTCATTGACTCGCGGGAGCATTTTCTGCCCCAGCTTCATCCTGCCCTACTCTAGAAAGGCAGCGTAGCGTGGCATTGAAGAGCATTGTCTTCCAGGTCAACACACTTGATGTGAATCTTTTCCCTGCTAGTCACCATTTGTAGGACCTTCTGAAATCCCTAGGGCTTCATCAATCACTAACTCTTGGGGTAAAGACCAAATGAAATAATGCATGGAAAGCATTTAGCCTTGGAGGACTAAGCACCCTCATGAAGTGCTTCTTCGTGCTAGCTTGAAAGTAAGGGAAACATTCCTGGCCCAAAATCTCCATGGCCAACCTTACAAGACAATTTGAGGCCAGCAAAGAAGGGGATATGTAATCTCCCTGGCATATTCTAAACATTAGTTGCCTTTGGCCATTTTCAATCAGAAAGGACATTTTGATCAAAAGCACATTTGGTATCTGATTGCTTCTGCACAGAATTGCTCTGTGAAAGAACTGAGTCTTTCAAGGTATTGGGGCAAATTAAGCACATCATCAGGATCCAGAGAGTAACCAAAATAGTTATCATTTCGAGCACTTTTCAGTACTTTATATACAATATCTTACTGTGTCGGCAACAAGCCAGTGGAGGGAAGGATGATTAACCCTCTAATCACAGTGACAAAAAGAAACAGGAAAACAGAGTCCTGGGCAGGGAACATGATTGTGATTGAGTCATTCCACCCGGGAACAAGTGGGTTAAAGGTGACGGTTCCTCCCTCCATCCACAGAAACATTGTTGGAAATACCCATCAGACACCTGTAGTCTGAAACAAAAGAAGTACAATGAAGGAAGTGTAGCAGGTTGTTAACCATGGAGATAAAGTTTCCTGAGCCACTCAATGGAGCTGAGAATGACAGCCTGGGAGGGTCCATTAGCTCAGGTCTGTGTCCAGCCTACGTGCAACTGACCACAAAGCCAAGTCACTGAGCAAGATAGTCCACATTTCCCCAGCCAAGACCCAGATACCCAGGCAAGATCTGGGAGAAAATGCAAGGACTCGGAGGCACTTGCCAAAGAGGAGCTGATGGACAGCACTAGATAGTGCCTAGGGCATAAACAACTCCCAGCAAATTGTAAAAGTCACCATCTCTTTACACCCTGCCTTTCAACCTCCAAATGCAAGGATTGCTAAAGGGAGAGGAGAATGAGCATCCCCAACCTTGGCTTCCGAAGCTAGCATCTCTCTTGGGGCAGTGGAAAGAACACCAGAGAATTTCAATCCAGGATCTGCCACTGACTCATGAGTGTCTCGATTTTCCTCTTCTATTAAACTAGCCTGATGGACTGAAAGATGCCAAGGTTCCTCTCTGGCTCTGCTTCTCTGATCTTCTCTACCATGGGCAGCAGGGGAGTTATGGCTACCTCGTCCCAGGAGCTCTCCAAAATAGGAATAATCACACTTCCCATCTTGGATGTCCCGGGCCCTGGGTGAAGGTTTAAGCAACTGGATTCTTTCCTGTACTAGAGTTAGGAAACTTGAGAGCCCTCAAATAACAGAGGCCTCCTCTGACCCCCATATAAATGAGGTCCTCCTCCCAGGTATTATCTCTTACAACCTTGCCACGTATGCAAAGTGTGTTCTGTGGGCCAGGAGCCTCAGCGACACCTGGGAGCTTGTCAGAAATACAGACTCTCAGGCTCCAGCCAAACCTTCTGAATCAGAATTTGCATTTTAACCAGGTCCCCAGGTGATTTAACGCATACGCGTTAAAGTTTGAGAAGTTTTTATCTTGAAGGGCCCTTCATAGTCCTTGCCTCAACTTGCAATTCAATTATATATTTATTTGTCTGTTTTAAATGACAGCTTTAATGACTAAGCCATAAAATCCACAGGATGTCTTCCGGTGAGTAATGTAGTTCCTGGCACACAACAGACCGGGTGCTCATTGAACAGGTGCTGAATGTATGACTTTCTGTTATTTCCCGGATGGTTTGTGGAGGCTGGGACAGCCCTGGTGGTTCTACTGTACCAACCTTCTCTCGCTCTCCCTAGATACTTTCCTGGGCGGCCAACGAATTCAACCATCTTAGCACCACGTTTAAACATACATAGATGTTTTTCTTTATGCATTTCCACATCACACTAATTGATGATCATACTTGGGAGCAAATTAGCCATTCATTAGATTTCAAACTGCTCTTTGCAGTCCAGCAGAGGCAACACGGAGGGGAATTTGGTGATGTCAGGTTTTCCTATGAACTGCATGTATAATTGAGCGACCACAAATGCACAGCATTTTTACTTAGGTTAAGAGCTTTCAACTAAAGTGATACAATCATAGACTATTAGAGCTGAGAGGGAAGGAGCTTCCAAGCCAAGTTCACTGCCTCTGCCCTAAAAAGCTGAGGGCCAAAAGTTTATACTGACTTCTGCCATCTCCGGAGCAGAGCTATGTGCCAGGGCTTTGCCTTCGGGAGACTTCCTCAATTCCTTACAGCACATTTGGGCTGGAGAAGAGATCCGTTTATCAGAAAATGAGCCATCAGTGGAAGGCCAAGGACAGAGCCCCCAGAGAAATGGCAGAATAAAAGGGAAACTCCAGAGGGTCCTAGGTGTTCAGACAGAACACTAAGGAAGTAGATGTGCACAGATGCTAACTTCTTGCTCTGGAAGAGGTCGGGGAGTTATTTTCAACCACATCAGAGACACACCCTCTCTAGGACTTTATTAATATCTCAATCCAGTGCACTACAGGAGACTCCAACCTAGACAAGTCACAAGAGAAATAAGATACTTGATTCCTTATTGGCAAGACACCTGACGTGTGGCTCCATGGCTGAGGCGGGGAGAAAGGGAGGGAGGTGAGGCATGAGGACATCAGTCTCTGAGGGATTTGTGAGGGGTAAAGAACTGTGCCCAGCTGCTTCTGTTGCCTCCGTGCTCAGAGTACCCCAACAAGGCCTCCCTATCAGTCCCTCCAATCTCCCCAACCCAGGAGACCCCCCCCTTCAGAAGACAATCCACTTCTATCAACCTCTTATTTATCTGTATAAATATATATATATTCATGTTCATGACAGAACAGATAATATGAAATACAATGTGAATTTATAAATACATAATATATCTTTGTGTTTATTTATGTTATATAGTTATAAGTATTTGGATATTATAATCATATATAAATTTGTAATAAAGTCATGAGGGCGGGGACCCGATTTCATTATTTACCGTATCGTCACAACGCTTGGCATATAAACATTCAATTAATTCAGAATTTCCAACCACAGGAAAGAGAGCGATGTACCTTCTCAGGTATGTTTACAGCATACTTTCACTGTTTGATGAATCAAATACGGAAAAAAACCCACATATATTTATATATTACACTTGCTTGGTCTTTTGTTGACCAGAGGGGGGAAAATATCAAATGCAGAAGTGAAAACAAAAGCCCTGGACAGGGCGATGAGTTGCAGATTCTGGTCCCCGAAGCTGCCATAAACTTTTCCTTTTACCCTGCTCAGCCCCCAGTTCCTCACCTGTGAAATGTGGATAGTAACCCTCAAACTGCATTCCTGATATAGGCAAGTTATTGAGCAAATGGATGAGAAAGCCCAATGTAAACTGGGTCAGTGAATTGATTTTTTTTAACTTTAAGAGTCAAATGGAACACAAATTCTAGATTGCACAGCACTTGGAGGCCAACCAAAATGGAAAAGAAAAAAGATGAGTTCTTTCCATTAGATGATGATCTCACACTGCCTCCTTTTTTTCTTTCTTCTCTTCCAGGACTCCATTCCCAACCCACCGGGAAAATTCCCCCTTAAAGGAGGTAAGACCTTGGAATTGGGAGTAAATGTATATTAAATCATCCCTATGACATCATAGTGGATTAACCACCGGAAGCATCCTAGCAGTGCCCAGCAGAAAAGTGGGTGGAGGCAAAGGTGGCGGCTGCTCAGAGCTGAGCTAGTACCTATGGGTTCATCTGAGCAGGCTCCGTTCGGCACCCTGGTGCCCACAGCTCTGCCATTAATGAAAATCCCACCTATGACATAGGCCATCACATGGACACGGACAGCAACGCAAAGCAGCACAGTGTTAAGAGCTTGAAATCTGGAGTCAGGCAAATGTGGGTATGAATCTTGGCTCTACATCCCACCCGGGAGCCTCAGTTTGTTTTAATCTATAAAATGGGAATAATACTACCTACCTCATGAAGGAATCGGAGAAGCCAATCAGATCTCATCCATAAATTGCTTGGCGCGGCCACTGGCATAGAGTAATCATGAAATAACTGGTAGTAGCCGAAATGCGTAATGAAGGTAGGATTGTAAAAACAGACATCCTCCTCACCCCCTACATTTCCTATCATTGCCATCACTAGTTAACGTAACGCATCATCTTTACGAGCCCCAGAGGGGATATGCAGACTTAGCTTAACACTGAGGATGAAAAACTTTGAGATCATCTGGTGAATGTTTTCCTTGCACAGAAGAGGAAAAGTAAGAGCCAGTGAAGTGTCATGTCCTGGGTCACATGGAGCCAAACCCAGAATCCAGATGTCTTCATCTCCTAGCCAATGTTTTTTTTTTTTCCACCCCAGAACATGAACCCATCTCTGTCCTATAAACTTTAGAACCTAGATGGCATCACAGCTGGATAACCAGACAGCTCAGAGAAAAAAGAGTCAAAAAGAAAGGGTGAGGTATTGGGCACCCAGCTAGAGACACCAGGGCATCTGTGGGACACGATGTCTACACAGCGTCTGAACACAGCCCTGCCTGCCAATAGCATCCCACTGGGAGTTTCCTTCAGGCTATCTATCACACGGACGTTTAGCCAGTAGAAGCAAAAGCCACAAACAGACAAGTATTCTGGATCTTTCAGGGAAGACTACTAACTACAGCTTTGTAACAATATGTTAACCTTGGCTGGAATTACTTCACAAGGGACCTCGGTTCCCACAATGCCTCTGTAGGGCAGGCGCAGCTCTAGACTCTGAAAACCAGCAGGCACAGCTGTGGGTCCATACAACTTTCTTTCTAGAATGAGGTGAGAGGCTGGCTGTGACACACAGAGCAGAGTCCAAGAGCCCCCATTATGGAAGAGGCACAGGCTCTCAGGAGTCAGAACATGTAACACACGTCCTTGCGGAGACTTGCAAAGCACCCAGGCACACTGAGTCACTCTCGTTTCTCCTTCTTCTCTCCCACCATTCCACCACCACCACCACCACCACCACCCCAGCCCCTCCCCACCGCCGGGGTCTTCCAAGTCAAGACCAGAACTTCTCATTTCTTGAGGGAGAGAGAGGCAGTCTTGAACAGAAACGCGATTCAACAACAAGGGTAGTTTGCATGAGGCAATGTGACCCCAGCCATCCTGGATCACAGTTCCTGTACCTGCAGAGTCCGTCCTTCACAGGTCGCTCTCACTGCAGGGTCTGGCCCTATGCTGGTGTTCACCAGCCCAGTGTGAAATGGGGAAGAGAAGGATGAGATATGGGATATTCTTCCCATAGCCAACTGTTTTTAATGTAAGGGGCACTCCTTTCCTCCGAGAGTACATCCTCCCGAAAGCATAAAACTGTCCTTTCTTTTACAATGTGAAGCTGATGTGGGTGCAAGTTAAGTTCACTTGCGTTTTGTCTGAGTTACTCTGTTTTGTTTTAATGGACACAAGAGACAAAATCAAAGGCTGCCCTCTCTATGTTGCCCACTGAATTTTCATTTGGGGGTGAATTTCTTTGGTCCATGAAACCCAAAATGGTGGGAGCCATGGACTGGGTCCCTTATCAAGTCCCTTCTTATCTTGACTATCCCTGTATCAGCACGTGCACGAATCCCAAACCACCCTCAGCCGGCAATTCAATGTTTCTGCAACCAGATTTTAGAAATGCTAATAGTAATCCCCACCAAGGCTCTGCAATTTTGTTTAAGGATCTCCCCATGCCTCTCCTGGGTTGATCTTTGCCTCAAACCTGTGAGCGACCATCGTGGGGGTTAGTGTTTCCCTATTGCTGATGAGAAGCTGAGGTCCAAGCCCTCAAGGTGACTTGCCTGAGGTCACCCAAGGAGCTAATGGCAGAGCAGGGAACAGAATCCAGGCCTCCTTTCTGTTCCCTGTGTGACGTGCCTGAGCCATGAAATGTTAATGGCCAGCCGTGATGTGCTCCCTGGCTGTCTCCTCTTTGTAATGTACACCTACCTGTCTCCTACCTTGGCCAACTGTAGACACAGTTCTAGGGCGAGGTGGAAAGAATATTACCAAGGAGCAAGACCTGGGCTCCAGAATGGATTTTCATGTGAGCAGGCTGTGTCTCTCTGGGCAAGTCTTCCTCCTCTCTGGGTCTCTCTATAATCCAATAACAATGTACTAAAATGAAATGACACTATGACACTCTGATTCTTTTGCTCAATATGTAAACAGAGAAGAAAAAAAAAGTCTAACAATAATCTTGAGGCAATCTCCAGCCACAGCCTCCTTCCCCAGTAAGCCCCTCTTAAACAGGTACAAGCAGCACATTGCCCCTTTTAAAAAGCCATTGCAAGACACCTGGCCGAGGGGAGCCGTCTCTCAGAAAGCCCTGGGAAGAGGTTCCAGAGGTAGCATGTGGTTTGTCCCCGGGTGAACAAGAGCTACTATCTATCACACGGACGTTTAGCCAGTAGAAGCAAAAGCCTCAAACAGACAAGCATTCTGGATCTTTCCGGGAGGCACTTTCTAGGGACCCCTCCACCACTAGTGAATGCAAATCACACACCATCAGCAGGAGCCAGCAGCGGCCCAGAGCCCTGGGAAGCAGGCCCATGTACACACACTAAGGTACCTTAACACAGGATGACACTTCGCTGCAGGATAACCACAGAAAAACAAGCCTGTTTTGTCATGAAAGGATTTCTTAGTCCCAACACAAGCTTCCCATACCAGCCAGGAGATTGGTCACTAGCAGACTCCCACCTCACACTCATTCTGCGGTGCTTAGGACACGGTGGACCATTGTGGGGGTTCAGCAGGGACCGTGGGCCAGGAAGACCACAGGGAGGAGAACCTTGCCCCACGTCCTTCTTCTCTCATCTAGAAAATGGGGTTGATAAGGGTGACAAGGGACAGCAAACACGACTCTTGTCTGTCACCGGGCTGAGCCTACATCCCTTGGACACAGAGTCCAGGCTGTTCTTTCATCCCCAAATAAAATGACCCCATCCCACCCCACACAGGGTGAGCAGCCAAGGTCGGGCTCCGGGGAGAGCCCTGGGCTTCTGGGTGTCTTCTCCTCACTTCTTATTCCAATTCCCCACGTCTGCCGCATTTTGAATGTCACACGTGCTCACGTTGTGTGGCATATTTGCCCAAACCACAGAACACAGGCCCCTTTGCCCTGATTCCCCCAGAGCTCCAACAGCACCCCACCTTTGTGTAAAGCCCAAACGCTGTAGGATTTAGGGCATGTAGGGGAGCTGGTAGGGCAGTACATTTCATCCCAGGGACGATGCAAATTGAGCACTAGAACCCTCTGCTCTTATAAGACCTCTGCCCCTTCAGCTACTGGGAATTTCTCCAAGGACAGCTTTCCCCACTGGGGCTCAGCCCTCCGTCCTGCATACTAACCCACACTCCTTCTACCTCTTTTTTTCTTCCCCATTTTCACTCCCCACCCCACCCCCTTCCTCACAAACTCGGCCTTTATTTTATAGAACGATTTTGGCCACCTTGGTGTCAGCCCCCGGCCTTCCCAACATCCCAACAACTAAATGACAGCCCTTCCCGCACCAGACGAATTCTGTAGACAAATTTTCAACCAGTTTTTCTTTTATTCCCTCACTACATGTGTATATGAGGCTCTGGCGGAGTGAAAATGGTGGACACTGATGGGCACCCACCTTGAACCAGGCACCGGGCCGAGTGCTTCGAGACTCAGCCGGCAGTCCTCACATGTCCCAGGGATATTACTATCCCTGTTGTATAGGGACAGAATTTGGAGCACAGAGAGGTTTACTGACTTGCCTAAGAGTGCACAGCTAGTAGGGAATGGGGCAAGACCTCAAAATGCAGGCTGGCTCGCCTTGGTTTTGCTTATCCAGGATTATATTGCCAGACGCCACTGCACTTCCTTCCAGCCGCCCTACCAGTTGGTTCTCCAGGGCTGGGCACCCTTCCAACACTATGGCTTCCTCAGCACCTGCTCCCACAGTTGTTTGTTTTCTTGTTGTGGAGTTCCGCAACAGTGGGGGGAATAAACAGCCCATGGCAGGGAATTTGGAAGCCAAATTTAAGCCCTAGCTTTGCGGCTGAGGTGTCATGAGGCTGGAAGATTCCTTCCCTCTGCACAGCCTCCTGTTAGAAGAGGTTGGCCTTTCCTGTGTCACGACCCTGCACCCCCCCTGCCCCTGCTCCACAGGTTCCTGGAGGCCCTGAGGAAGGGGAAACAGTGGATAGACCGTGTATGAGTCCTGAAAGCCCCTTTATAACACAATCCCTGCCCTCCTCTGAATACCTTCTCCTGAATCCAGTACCCAGCTGGAGACAGGGGCAAAGACAGAGAACCGGGTTGGATTTTGGAATACCTACATTCCGGTCCTGGGACTTGAAGCAATGCATTTTCCCTCTCAGGGGCTGGAAAGTCCTGTCGTCTAAAAATATCAAGAGTGAGGGGAGCAAGCCAGATGACCTGAACCTGGCATGGATTTTGCTTTGAGTCTAACATTCCCAGAATTAGACAAGTGGACTATTTTACCGTTCTAACAATTGACAATTTTTACGTGGCTTGGCAGACTACCCTCCTCCCCACTCCCTCTGCTAAAAAGAAAATGTGGGCATTAAAAAACA